TATATCCTGCAAAATAAAATTAAAAATTAATAGAAGAGAGTTTTTCATAAAGCATCAAATTATGCAATGCTTGTTATGCTTTAATGTCGATATATACTAGTGTACAAATTGATATTCTATAGCAATGAAATGCAAGTTTTGACATTATAAATTACAAAAGTCGATTTCTTGACCTAAGGTGAACAGATAGAAATGATACACCCACATAAGCTATTGATATACATATATTGTCATACCTTTTTTCGACATCTTTCTTTTTTCCACCACTTTATAGCATTTTGGGATTATTGGCCACCGGTTCCTAATTCAAACATTTTAATCTAACGATTCCTGCAAATAAAAAAACAAATGCATTTTCTAAGTCAAAAATGGTGTTCCAAATGTTTGCACTAGTGTTCATCAATTGAATGTGTGGTGTCCAGTTTTTAATGCCTTTGTGTTTCATTTTTGAATACTTGATGTTAGAGTTCTTAACACTTAGTGTTCAGCTAATGTATGTGGATGTCGAAAATCATCATTTATTCTGTATAACAGACAGACTGTTTATTTATTAGTTTAGGAAATCATCAGAACAAAGCTGACAGTTATTTACGTTTATATCTAAAGCCCGTTTTTTAATTCGTCTTTTATGTTGAATATTGAAAATTTGGATATAACAGTTATGAATATTTGACAAATATATATCTGGCATGAGAAAATAACAAGGAAGCCATCGAACTACCTATGGAGATTATTCTAACTTGTTACTTACTTCTTTCGTGTTCATATGGGATAGAAGTCCCTTCTCCAGTTCTCTTTCTTATGTGTATCCATGCTTCGTTTAACCGCCTAAATCGCCAGCCGATATCTGTTTCCTGTATTTGGTATCCTGGTATATTTTTTTTAACACGAGGTGTTCAAGATTTCGAGCGATTTGAACACTGATTGAACATGTAATGTTAATAAAATGAACGGATCATGAAATAAGATAAACATCGACATATTTTTATTACGATATTATCATAACAGGCCTCATTGATATGCATAATTATGTCACTTATAAGTAAAACTAGTACTGTATATATAAATAAATAATAAAATAAATTCATAAACTATACATATATGCCAGCTTGGAAGTTTAATATTTCACAATTACTAAAATATTAGCCAAAAATTCACAAGATCATCATCCTGCGTATACATTCATATTTTTTAAAGAATTTCTTTTTGAATTTGCCAATTGGAAGGATAGAAAATCGGACAAACGACTATCTTCTTTTTTAGATCAGAATTTGAACACCGGTGTTCACTGCGTCTGAACACACATGTTAATATTTTTAACACAAACGTTAAAACTTGAACACGTCTCTAAGCATGAACATATGACGTTAAAATATTGAACATTCGATGTACAAATTTTGAACGCGTCCGGACGCGTCAGGCGTCAGGTATATTTACAGTGTGGGACAGTGGTGTTACAGCACAACATAAGTACAAACTGCAAAAATCGGTTGCAATTTACTTAAATCAGAAGCCGGAACGAGACACAAAACAACTAACATAACATCAATTGACACAAAGCACCGAAATAATATTGCCACTTTTTAAACAAAATATAGCAAATTACATGAACTTTCCTGACATTTGCTAATACGTGTATTTTGTTTTGGGTATTTCGATAAGCTAGCAAACATTTGACTTTACAACATGAACAGAGTTCAGGGAAACATAATTTGCGTAAATTAACAAGATTGTCTTTTGAATACCAATATCTAAAATTTAGAATGTTTTTGTAAAATTATGTTACAAACGACATTTAAAAAAAAACTGAATCAATTTTAACTGATAGACATGTACCTCCAATAAAATTTTGGTTTCGGTTAAAATGTCCTTATGATTACTCAAAATTTGCCATAATCGAAGTGTTTAACCATAAATAGTAATCTATAATTTAATCAAATGTTCTGAAATACATGTACACTAAAGTGTCGTTTAAACTTTAAAGGGGAATTAGCTACAACATATATAAAAAAAAAATATGATTTTTTTTTGTTCAATCATTAACGAAAGCGAAATAGTGAAATAGGGAAATAATAATTCGCTTTTAGCAGCCAGTTTAGTTAAATGTTGTCAAAATAAGCTAAGAAACATCACTGATGAATTATTCACTTGCAAGTGAATGATTCGACCTCATTGAATCCGTATCCATGTGACCTTCAATTTAACCCCTTAGCTAGAGATTGGTTACGCATGTATAAGGCGTGTTCAACCATTAAAAGGAAAATAATGTCAACATTGAAAGTGAACCAAAAGTGAACATTTCGTTGACTGATTCGATCCACAAACAATCATTCTTATACAGGTAAAAACGATGATTAACTTATTTTCTTAACCTATAACATGAAATCAAACAGACCTAGAAAAATCCAAGTGCACGTGGTCGCTATCTATCAATATTGATGTTTATGTTTATATCGGGTTATGTGACCGTCGGTAGTCTTCGGAGGTCATCTCGATGGTTAATTAGATGGCGTCTAGACTACAATACACACGAAATGCTGATATATATATTATCGAGTCTATGTATTGTGAATGGTTTATTTCAGACTTATTGTAATTTGGATATACGTTTTAGTATGTCATAAATCAAGTATGAGAATTTAAATCAAATCGATGAACATGAATTTTACAGCTAATGCCCATAAGTAACTAATATTGAACCTGAATACTGTGAATGTTAGTAAAGATTGAAGACTTTTAGAACAAAGCTCTGCTGTGAAATAAATTCTTATGAAATTGGCCCAACCTGTTTCTTTGTGATTAAGACAAGTCTGATAATGTTATAAACTATTTCTATATAAAGAAAACATGATATTTCTTTTATTGTGTCTATTTAGTAATCATCTAGTACAATCCAGGACCCTCCTAGAGAAAATTTTGATATCTCAATTTCAACTAGTAGATAATGGAATTCTGATTTGTACTGGATTTTGATAAGTATAAATCCGAATTCCGATTTGTACTAGGAGGATTCCTGACCTTACGGAATTCCAATTTGTACTGTATATATACTAAAAGGTAAGAACTGGCGATTCACTCGAGCCCGTTGTATGCTGGCTGTAAAGAACACTTTGTATTTTTTTTTTTGGTATTTTTGAGTGTTTTATGGAATTAGGGAACTTAAAAAAGGTTTCTTTCGACAGAAAGCTGGGTGAAAGCACCTAGACAATCAACAGGTATGAATTGTCATCATTTCAATTACTAGTATCATAATTATAACCCTTGTAAAATTACCATGAACCAAATGTGTGTTGACAGTGCTTATTCAACTCTAATTCCATCCTTCTCAATGATTTTTAAAGTGATGGAGAGCTTGTCATTCGTGAACTTGCTAGAAACAGTCACCGTCGAAATGTGTATACAATAAACAGAAATGAATTTCATCATTTACTAACATTATAATTCAAGCCATCCTAGACTAGTCTTTCTCCATATAGAAAGCGAAGCATATACGAGGCTTTCACTATATATATATACTAATAACCTCTTCACGTTTTAAATGCAGTCCAACAAAGTTAGAACTGCAATACTTTTTCTTTTAAATCAGTAAGTCCTAAGTCAGGAATCTAATGTTCAGTAGTTGTCGTTTGTTGATGTGGTTCATAAGTGTTTCTCGTTTCTCGTTTTTTACATAGATTAGACCGTTGGTTTTCCCGTTTGAATGGTTTTACACTAGTAATTTTGGGGGCCCTTTATAGCGTACTGTTCGGTGTGAGCCAAGGCTCCGTGTTGAAGACCGTACTGTGACCTAAAATTGTTTACTTTTATAAATTTTGACTTGGATGGAGAGTTGTCTCATTGGCACTCATACCACATCTTCTTATATCTATATATCGTTACCTCGGCGGTTTTTCAGGGCCAACCTCAACACCGCCTGTGCTGTGCCCAGTGTCCAGTGCCCTATAAACCATTCGGCTACATAGAAATAAAGTTGTGGACAATTAAGAACAATATCAAACGCTTATATTAAATAAACCCTTTATGGGTTCTTGATTAGATTAATAAAATTCTTCTTCTATTATATTCCTCTCCTTGCCGACTTAGTCCAAGTATTGTAACAACTGCATGATATGTGTATATAGCAGATCTTTTTAATATATTGGAAGCTATGATCAATGCTATTTACAGTAATACCCTCTATTTCTGATCATATAAGCGAGCTAATGAATGATAAAAATTACAACGTGAGAAAAATTACACAATCTGATCTGTCTGACACTGAAATTACAAAAAAGTAAGGAAAAAATGCAAACTATATTTCGAAAATCTTTCATAAAATAAATAACAATGCTTTCTTGTTAAAATGCGTTTTCTCTTCATTGCATCGTAAATGCATTTTTTTTATAAGAAATAAAAGTTAGATGAGCATTTTTTATAGCTTTATTTTAAAAAAAAGCATGCATAATGTGACGGATAATTGAAAAAAGTATAATTTTGGATTCGACCGAATAGCTTTTCGATACTATTAACTTACATTTTGGCATTGCAAGCTGTCGTGCATTACTCAAACTTTTTATGACGTTTTACACTACATCCGTTTAGTGTGAACTGATTGATAATTTAGTCTGGGAGAACATGATTCATTTATTAGTTGTAATTGACTTTGACCTATCTTTCAGTAACTGCGTGTACTTAAATCGGTGTTTTCAAGTGTGTCTATTGATTTGGTGTTGTTTTTCTTTTTGGTGCATCGTACGGATCAATTGAGTTATATACTAGACATCGACATACTACATAGTAATTCAAAATGTCTGCTTCAAATTTAGGCAATTAAGATGTAATGATTGCAAATTTAAAATCTTATTGTTATCAGAAACTTTTAGAGAAATTACAAGAACAGCAAACCGGTGTCTTTAAATTGGAAATACAGTTTTGCAATTATAAATTAGTGTTCTGATGATACAGCATCATTTTTGTGAGAAAAAAAAAATTAAGCATCATTTCCTCAAATCAAGCTCTTTTTTATTTCATGTATTACATCATTTTTCTGTATTTCATGTTTTTACATCATTCTTCTGTATTTCATGCATTTACATCATTCTTCTGTATTTCATGTATTTACATCATTCTTCTGTATTGATTGTATCATTAGTGTCCTCTTGGTTGTGTGTCATTTTCACTGTTTGCGTCTGTTGGTTGTGTGTCATTTTCACTGTTTGCATCTGTTGGTTGCTTGTCATTTTCACAGTTATCATCTGGTTGTGTTTCAATTATATTATTTTTCTCTGTTGGTTGTTTTTCGATTGCATCATTTTCCTCTGTTGCTTGTTTTTCGATTGGATCATTTTCCTCTGCTGGTTGTTTTTCGATTGGATCTTTTTCCTCTGTTGGTTGTTTTTCGATTGGATCGTTTTCCTCTGCTGGTTGTTTTTCGATTGGATCGTTTTTCTCTGTTGCTTGTTTTTCGATTGGATCGTTTTCCTCTGCTGATTGTTTTTCGATTAGATCATTTTCCTGTGCTGGTTGTTTTTCCTTTTTGTTATTTACATTCTTCTCTTGATGATCCTTTACATGTAGCCCTTTTGTATGTGCCTTCTTAACATGATGTATCTCACTTAGATGCCTCTCCTTTTCCTGGTGTGTCCCCTTTGCATATACACCCTTAACATTATGCATTTCCTTCGCATGTCCCTCATTTGCTTTGTGTTCCTGTTTTTGGTGTTCCTCTTTTACATCATGTTTCTCTTTTGGATGTGCTACTTTTACATCATGTTTCTCTTTTGGATGTGCTACTTTTACATCATGTTTCTCTTTTGGATGTGCTACTTTTATATCATGTTTCTCTTTTGGATGTGCTACTTTTACATTGTGTGAATGTACCTCGTTTACATCATGTTTCTCCTTTGGATGAGCTACTTTTACATCATGTTTCTCTTTTGGATGTGCTACTTTTACATCATGTTTCTCTTTTGGATGTGCTACTTTTACATCATGTTTCTCTTTTGCATGGTGTGTATGTGCTTCTTTGACATCATGTTTCTCTATTGGATGTGCTTCTTTTACATTGTGGGGATGTGCTACTTTTACATCATGTTTCTCTTTTGGATGTGCTACTTTTACATCATGTTTCTCTTTTGCATGGTGTGTATGTGCTTCTTTGACATCATGTTTCTCTTTTGGATGTGCTTCTTTTACATGGTGGGGATGTGCTACTTGTACATCATGTTTCTCTTTTGGATGTGCTTCTTTTACATTGTGTGAATGGGCTTCTTTTACCTCATGTTTCTCTTTTGGATGTGTAACTTTTACATGGTGGGAATGTGCTTCTTTTACATCATGTTTTTCTTTTGGATGTACTGATTTTACATGGTGTGAATGGGCTTCTTTTACATCATGTTTTTCTTTTGGATGTGCTCCTTTTACATGGTGTGAATGTGCTTCTTTTACATCATGTTTCTCTTTTGGATGTGCTCCTTTTACATTATGTGGATGTGCTTCTTTTACATCATGTGTCTGTTTTGGATGTGCTACTTTTACATGGTGTGAGTCTGTTGTGTGTGATTTCTTTATATGGTGTTTTTCCTTATGGTGTGTCTCTGGTGCATAATGCGTCTCTTTTGAATTAATTTCATTATCATTGAGTGTCTTCTTGGGATGTGCTTCCTTTACATGATGTGTCTCATTTAGATGTACCTCATTCACATGGTGTGTCTTTTGTGTATGTGTCTTCTTTGTATGATGTTTCTCCTTTGGATGTGCATCCTTTGCATGAGTTTTCTCTTTTGAATGTGTAGCTTTTCCGTGCTTTGTCTCTTTTAAATGTGATATTTGGTGGATATCTTTTGGGTTTTCGTCTTCTTCCTGTGTGTCTTTCTCTAACTGATGAGTTTCTTTTCTTGAAAGACGAGAATTACTTGAAAGGTGTTTTATTTTAGATTCGGGCGCCTTTTGGACATTTGGATGGTATTTCGGTGAATGTTCCTTTTTTGGCGAATATATCTTTTTGTTCAATGTTTGAGCATTTTCTGACTCGTGGTTGTCACCAGTCTTTTCTGTCGCGTAAGGATCACCAGTCTTTTCTATCGCGTAAGTATCACCAGACTTTTCTGACGCATGCGTGTCCTCCTGCGGACTAATTGCCTCTGTAGAAGCAATTTCCTTCTCCATATCGTCTATTTCTCAATTTTGCGTCTTCCACTTATCTGCAAAAAAAGTCAATTTTTAAAAGACACAATTTGAAGCTGTTTTTTTGTGTTCCACGCCTACGAGAAAAAGATATACATAGTGTTTTTCGATCTGTGCGTCTGCAAGTTCGTCTTAAATGTTGATGGTTTACTAAGTTAGTTTATCTCACAAACTTGAAACTAAGTACACATATTCATTATGATGCGAACTATTTAAGAGAACTATAAAATAAAAATTATGTGCAGAATTAGAGGTTTGACACAGATTTTGCGGTTCCTTGGTTAAAGTTTTGGTTAAGGATGTTTGCTCCTCTTGTTTTTTAATTTTTGCTAGATTTTCGGAATCTTCTGGTTTTATCCATGAATTGCCATTAAAAAATTTTGCCCGCTAACCCCTACTTTTCATAATTTTATTACATATAGTTTAAAAAGCCATATTTGAAAATCTTATGAAATCCTTGTTATTTTTTCATAGATTTTGAAACAAAAAAGCGGCCAATGTTAAATGTATGAAAAGTCTAGAGAGAATCATTTCCCGCCAAATTTTCACTGGCTTATATCTCGAAAACAAGCACACATACCATTCAATTTTTTTCAGCTTTTTTAGTTCCTTTATTCATACACTTTCAATTTATAAAAGTCTTTTAAAGAGCTTGTTATTTTTAAGCAGAGTAGATGTTTCTAAAATATACTAAATTAAGATTTTGACCCAGTTTTTGTTTCAGTGATATTCTTGGTATCTGGTATGAATAGAATGAGAAAAAAAGAAAAGAAAAAAAAGTTTTTCACTATGTCTGATGATTAATCCTACGCATGTGTTTGTTATCGTTTAAATCAATTAACTTATGAGGTCAGGACTTTGGTCAACTCTTCCTTCCCTTAGATACTTTTGGATGTGTACCTCCGGCAAGACGTAGTTTACGAATGAAACAGTGTCATCTCGACGCTAGGGCCATGGTATTTTTAAAAGGACTCGTTGTTTTACGATCAATCCAACGCATGCGTGTGTTATCGTTCAAATCAACTTATGAGGTCAGGACTTTAGTTAAATCTTCCTTCCCTTAGATACTTTTGGATGTGTACCTCCAAGACGTAGTTTACGAATGAAACAACATCATCTCGACGCTAGGGCCATGGTATTTTAGGACTCGTTGTTTTACGATCAATCCAACGCATGTGTGTGTTATCGTTCAAATCAACTTATGAAGTCAGGACTTTGGTTAAATCTTCCTCCCCTTAGATACTTTTGGATGTGTACCTCCAAGACGTAGTTTACGAATGAAACAGCATCATCTCGACGCTAGGGACTTGGTATTTTAGGACTCGTTGTTAATTTACTCGTTGATTGATGACTGCTTAGCGTCAAGGTGAGTTCGGTGATAACTGAAGACAATTTTAGATCGTGGCTCTATTGCAATATATTCTTTCCTATCAATTTATTTACGCCAATCATATATCCTTATCGTCTGCATAGTAAAAATCTTTCGTGCCGTTTGTCCGAATCGTGTGATAGTGGTGTATACAGTTGTTTTAATAATTGTAAAGCACATGCCTGTTTGATTCTTTTAATGTAGAAGATAGGCCCGCCCAACGGAAACGGTGGCGGATCCAGGATTTTAGGTTAGGGGGTGGTCGCAACCTTAAATTTTCGCCGAGCGGAGCGATGCGAAATTTTTTTGAGGTAAAATTATCGAAATATTCTTCAAGAGTGTAGAGAAAACCCATGCTTTGCAAATTTATGGGGGGGGGGGCGCACGCCCGCCACACCCCCGTCTGAATCCGCCCCTGGGAAAACAAACAACCATTATATTAAACAAAACAAAAAACAAAAATAAAAAAATTGAGTGCAATGGATGAACCATAAATTTTCTTCAGGCTGACTGAAATATTGTACGAAATAACAAACTTAGGGGATAAGTTAAAACTAGCTAAGCACATAAACATGAAACGCGAGAAGCGACAAGGGAAATATTGCATTCACATATTGCACTCAAACTAAAGTATTACTTAATTCGAAGCATTGAACTATTGACTGACCTGATATATGTTGTTTCTTACATTTTCTACTGTACCCAGTGCATTGAGTGACTTCAAATAAAGTTAAGTCACAAAAACACAACGTCATGGATGTACTTTGCCTACTTTAGGTTGTCGTATTCCCGGAAAATTCAATCACCTTGTGAACACCAACCGCGTTTGGTGCTTAGCAAAAAGTCGCAAATATTACAGTATATTAAATAAAGTCAATGAATTGTTAAGGTTTGAAAAGATGTATAACATTGAAAATTAACGGAAAAGGTAGTTGGCCACCATTTAAAACTTAAGACCTTCAAAGGTATGTTTCAAAAAAAAGTTCTCGTTATTTTTATTGGCCATCAACGGCCTACAGTGGTGAACGAACTCCTGTAAGTTTCTTACTATAGCGAGAGCTAAAGAGTAACGAACTCTTAAAACGTCTCTTAGCTCCATAACGTATTTTTGGAAAGAACTCAAATATATTTATGTCAGATTTTAATTAACTGACCATTTTCAATGTTGAACAGATTTGCTATTTAATTGATAGCGTACAGATAAATTTTGTTTTTACAATACTAACAGCTTTTGGAAATTGCCAAAGTAACGAGTAGCATCTACTGATTCAGTGCGGCTACTCTCAATTTAGGTAAAAAGGGTCTGTTTTTGTGGGAAGAACATCAATTCGCTATAATTGTTGCGAAAGCGAGACAAAGCGATCATATATTCCGTCGGCGTCAACATTTAGGTTCCTTCTGTGATTAAACTTTTTTGTAGACATCAAGAACTTTGACAAACCTTTTATGGAATTTTATGAAATTTGGACAGAAGCTTTTCTATGACCAAAAAGACAGCGTCCACAGCAAAATTTTGAACATGTTTATTTTAATTTTTCTGTATACTATTATTAAATAGACTTAGTTTTTTTTTTACAGTTAATAATACGATATTGTCTAAGGTGAAAGTATATCATCAGTCATCAATAACTTTGACTAACCTTCATGGAACTTTACATAAGTTGGACAAAAGCTTTTTCATAACTAAAAGATAGTATCCAGAGCAAAAGCAAACACAAACAACAAATATTTGTCCTTACTTTGCTGATAAAAGGGCGTATGAAGTAGATACAGACTGGGGTTAAAGTTTGTTACACATCAATCTATTTGTCAAACCTTCATCGAATTGTCTGAAACTTCGGCAGCTTTTTTTATATATAATTAAGAGATTTAATCCGAGGCAAAATTTTTTACTATATTTTGTTTTTCATTTTTCAGTTTTTTACTGAAATATCGACTTAGTTTTTAGCAGTTGACATTACAGACTGTCTGGGATTAAATAGATTTTGCATGATACATTTGTAAACCTTTATGGATTGTTATAAAACTTGGACAGAAGCAAATCTTTAAGATCAAGAAATAGCATCTGAAGAAAAAGATTAATGTGTTTATCAATTCTGTATTTTACTGATAAACGGACTCCATTTTTACAGTCAAAATTACACTATTCACTGACAGCAGCAATCGCAGACAAGACACATAGTTCCGCGGAACCCTTCACGAATGTTTTACAGTTCGAAGCAGGACTAAAAAGTTTCGTCTTTCTTCATTGAGACTTATGAACAGTTTTGTTTTTAGGCGTTGCAGAAATTCGTGTCTTCTTGTATATTCACGAAGTTTTTGCCACGGTTTCCTGAAGTAGCGAGCACATTTTGACCCTGCTTTCCAAATTATGTGCTGCCTTTTATTTGCTTGTTCAAGATAGTGGTAATCCTATTGGTAGCTGGATTGTGTGTTTGACTATTATGGAATTCTTTAGTCTAGATAGACAAAGGGCGAGTTTGTGCTCACCTTTATCTGGCTTGACCACACCACATTGTGTTCCTGAACTAAGTCAGGCAAGTATAGGACTATGTGTTGTTCGTTGTTGTTTGTCTTTTGTTTGTTCTATCTTTTCGGAGGAGTCGGATGTGGTCTTTTGTACTGTTCTATATTTTTGGTAATTCGTATTATCCTTTTTTATCTATTACAGTATTAAATCTAGTGGGAAGTTCAGCGACCGATATAAGAGTATAGATCGGCATGCTTTCATATTATCAGGCTAAACTTTTAAACCTTACTTTCTGTTACTGTGAGAATCTTTGAAACGATATTGTTTATTGTTTTGCTTGTTTTGAGTATTTTGTTATTTTTTAACCGGTATATCTATGTTACTTTTCATGAACTGGTTTTTACAGTATAAAAATAAGGAGATGTGGTATGATCGCCAATGAGACAACTATCTACCGAAGTTCAAATGAAGTGGATGTAAGCAATTATAGGCAACCGTAGGGCCTTCATCAATGAGAAAAACCCATACAGTATGGTCGGCTATAAAAGGCCCCGACATGAAATATGAAACAATTCAATTGAGAAAACTAACGGCTCTTTTCTATTATGTACCTTTTGTTAATCTATTGATCGTTATAGATATAAAGAGGGAGGGTAAAGGTTAAAGCAAAACAAAGAAAAACTCATTCATCGCCGCAACGTGTCCATGTGCTTTTCCCAAGTCAGGAAAGTCGTCAGAGGTTGTTTGTTTTTGTCTCACCTGCGACGAAAGTTACAGAATGAGAGACATGAATTACAATCCGGCGGAGGCGATGACGGCGAAAACTATTTGTATAAAGCTTTTTATTTCAGAAGGTAGAAGACCTGGATGCTTCTTACCTTGTATGCAGATACCTTATGTTACGAAGTTTCCGTCTGTCATATGTCCTTTGTACTTGACCTCATTTTCATGGTTCAGAGACTGCTTGAAACAAAAATATATTTTTTTTTTGTCATGTTAAATACTCTCTTATTATGAGTAATATGAAAACTATATTTGGTATATGGGATTCTTGCAAGGTCTACACGTCCATCAGACAAGGTTCACTTGACCTTGAACTCATTTATTGGATTGGTGGCCAATGTTTTAAGTTTTCGTTTTCAAGTCTGTATCTCAGATACTATTAGCAATTATTACTTTTTTTCTCATTTTTTCACGATTTTTTAGGATTTAGAGCTTGGCATAGAGTACATAAACCCGTTTATTGTTGATAACATTTTAACCCCTAGATATCTTTTGGTTGTTTGTGTCGTTAGGTTGCTGTCTTGTTGACGGATACCCCTCAGCTCCTATATTCAATTGTAAAGTTTGCTTTTAAACAAGAATAAATCATATTTTAATTTTGTAATTGACAAAAAAAAACAAACATCAAGTTGCTCTACATTTCTAAAGCCACGACGTTCATACAAAAAGTTCAAATTCTAAAATGAACATAGCATGCAAGTAATGAAGCTTCAATTGTCTTTAAAAAAAAAACACCGCCAGGGATGCTTATTTTAACCGGCAATAATTGGACAAAATTTGTGTCAGTTCCAAATTTGCATTGTTGAATAACGTCATCTTGGTTTATTAAAAGAAATCATTAAACACTATGATGATTCTGATAGGTCTTTATCGTGTTTAACGTGATGTTTTGGGTGATGTGCACCACTTGTATGATGTTTCTCTGTTGAGTGGCTTGCTACTTTGGGGTGGTGAGCTGCCTTAGGATGGTGTTCTTCTTTTGAGTGGTGCGAATCTTTATCATCGTGGTGGACCTTTTTTGAATGATTTGGAGCTTTAGTATGATGGGCGTCTTTCGGTTTTTCCTGGTCATGGTGTGTTTCTTTTTTATCATGCTCCTCTTTCGAATGTTCTGTAACTTCTTTCGTGTCCGTCTTCTTTGAATCGTGCTTTTGTTTTCCTGGGTGGTGAGCTGCTTTTACATGATGCATTTTTTTCGTGGGATGTTCCTTCAATCCAAGCGTTTCTTTAGTGGGGTGGTCCTTCGAATCAAGCGTTTCTTCAGTGGGATGTTCCTTCGAACCAAGCGTTTCTTCAGTGGGGTGTTCCTTCGAATCAAGCGTTTCTTCAGTGGGATGTTCCTTCGAATCAGCGGAATGTTCCTTCGAACCAAACGTTTCTTCAGTAGGATGTTCCTTCGAACCAAGCGTTTCTTCAATGGGATGTTCTTTCGAACCAAGCGTTTCTTTAGTAGGATGTTCCTTCAAACCAAGCGTTTCTTTAGAGTGGTGCCCTTCTTTATGTCCTTTTACATGATGTGTCTTATTCGAATGATGAGTTTCTTTAGTTGAATGGGGTTTATCTCCTTTTGAACCGTGCGTTTCTTTCAAGTGACCCTCTTCCTTTTTATGGTGCGTATCTTTAACGTGATGAGTCTGCTTAACATGGTGAGTTCCTTCTTTAGTGGAATGAGCCTTGGGTGTAGGGTGGGTTGTCTTGGACGGATGCCCCTTCTTGGCGTGGTGATTTTTTGCCGTGTCTTCAGATTTAGGAGTTTCTTTTGTCAAATCTTTCTCGTCTGAAGGATTACTTTTCTCCGGTGGAGAAAAGATATTTGTGGTTTTTCCATCCTGTGTTGTCTTCAATTGTTTTGAAAGACTATCTTCATTTTTCGATTCTATTACTTCCTTTTCTGAATGATCTTCACTCATTTTGGCTGATGATTTATATCGTTAAATTTGTGGACTACCTGTCGAAAAAAAAAAAGAAAGAACTAAAAGAAGTTAGTCATGAAAATTATTTTCGAACACAATCTGTCAAGTATAATTCGTCAGTTTCGTCAAATTTTGCATGAATTTTGCGTAGGCAGGTGCATCGTCGTCGATATTAACAAGAAGTTTTTATTTATCCTTTGCTTCGATTCCTTATTTCAAATACAACGAAATATCATTTACATTTCATTCTACAGTTCCTACTATTTTATGAATTGTTTAACTTGTTCTCGTCCTGTACATGCATGATATATTTGTTTCTGAGTATCAAACAAGCAACAATCCATCATTAATTCTAAATCGGCTTGAAATATTTGCAACTGGAAAAAAAAGAAAAAAAAAAACAGATATTTTGTTGAAGACCAGATCCTCGTATGTGTTCCTTATTCAAATCTGACATATTTATCCATACGTTTAACGGTAAGACATACCATCACTTCTTCGGTTTGAATTGCTTTTTTCATTTGCATATACTTTGAATGTGCGTGATAAAAGTGCGAGACATGTACCGGCCTTTGGATATTGCACTGATTTTTTTTGCAACACTGTCGCTTTTGAACTGTACTTTGTTTTCGAATGACTTTAACTACGGATCCCAGAAAAGATATGCATTTGATGTCATAGTTAAACGACAACTTACCAGTTTGAAAATACTTCCAACTTCTATTCAATTTCCATTTATACAAGTAACAATGACTTGCTTTCATATCATATTTAGTAACTTTGTAAAATATTGAAGCCCACCTTTGTTAGTTATGTTACCGGAAAACAAATGAAAATTAACGACGAAACGTATGAAAACTATAGCTACTTATCTTCTTACCTTTCGACAGCCTTGCAACAGTTTTCTCTTTACCTTGTGTTAAGATTTAAATGGCTAATGAAACTACGTTCTTTGTATAAATCTGACCAAGTTCAAGGAAACTGTTGATTCGTTGACGATCGAACACTTTGTTAGCGAATTTTAATGATTTTATTGTTTTTAAGCGTGACTCAAAATAAAAAAAAAATGAAGTTTCTATACTGTTGAATTATGTCTTAAAGGAAAAATGCATTGAAGGGAGTCGTGTATAGTTTCACCACCTTTGTAAATCGATATGTTTCTGTAATTAAAAAATTAAATTAATTGCTTTATTACCGATAAAACTTACTTGCACGACATTACTTGTGTTGATTTGAGATAAGGGTATAAACTTATCTTTTGTAAATTCAATAATATTGACTTTTAAATTAATCAAAATAAAAAGTAAACGCTTGTATCAAAATAAAGTTATAAGAGGCCCTGTTATAAATGTTGAAATGTACAATCTGAGAGCGATTTCATGTCACAGTTTTTTTTTTCCTTTTTAGGCCCTGACGTATTTTACTGTTGAATTGACCGCTTGTTCACGTATATTCCATTTCTTTGCTCCTAAATGAATAACATTAAAAGTGTAATTATTTGGAAATTATTCTGCATAACGTTTTCAGTCAACATCTTTTTAGGTATGTTGTTACAAACTCATCACGGAAATGCGCAAGTATTGAGATTCCAATGGGTTTCAGTCGTTTCCTTCAAGGACCTGTACGGCGATTCCGTTACAGATTTTACTAGAATTGATGTCCCCAAACAACATGAACTTTAAAGTCAATGAAGAGGAACATGTAGTCAAGTTGGAATGACCCCTCTTTTCCTCTACATTGACAGATTTAGACTGAGACTACTGTAACAGTAATAGTCTCAAGTACACAGGAGCCCTTTTCTTATATTCCTTAAAATATTTACCATTAATAATTGATTAATTGTTGTTTGCTTAATGTGCAGTGGCAAATATTTCATGCATATTTAGATTAAAGCCATTAACACACCAACTAACCCATTTCTGACTAGAGTTTACCACCTTCAAAGGTAAACTATTTTGGTTAAGTCCTGGGTCAATAAATGAACCATTTCTTATATCTACTATCTACAATTATTAACACCTTCTTTCTATCTTCTACAGTTTCAACAAAAACATATTGGGTCAAAAATTGTCATTCACTTGGGCAATAACTCATAAAAGGAGGTAACTGACAATTTCAGTCATGCTGAATTATTAATAGTTCTGTTTCTGCTGATAATTTCTATCATCTGCAGTTTCTGTTATTCCTTTATAGATTCCTAAAAAAAACATCAACATCATTTAAGGGCAATAACTCATATAAAGAATTGACTGACTATTTCAGCAATGGTGACTTTTTTTCCTGATAATTTTTGCTATTTACAGTTTCTTTCTACTACAATTTCTGCAAAGAAAACCTTTAAAAAACTAGATTTAGAGCCTCTATTGCTGAAGTGCATCTTCAACAAATGACACTTTTGTAAAAATCATCATTTAACAGGAATAACTCTATTAAGAGTTAACTCACAATTTCAGTGATGTTAATGTATTTGTAGATCTTATACTGCTGATCATTTTTCCTTTATAAAGTTTCTATTTATCTATTACAGTTTTTAAGATAATAGGCAAAAAATGCTAAAAAGATGGTAAAAATTATCATTAAAGGGCAATAACTCTGATAATGAGTTGACTGAAGATTTCGACCATAATGGCTTATTTGTAGAATTTGTCGATTATTTTTGATATTTGAAATTTCTGTCTATTACAGTTTTCAAGATATAATAGGTAGAAATGTATAAAGTGGGAAACTTTGTCATTATAGGGCAATAACTTCAATAAGGAATAGACTTTGGTCATGTTTACTTGTTTGTAAATCTTGTCTTGCTGATCAGTTTTGCTATATAAAGTTTCTATCTATCTATCATAGTTTTCTATATAATAGGCAACAATGCAACAAAAATAGAAAAAAATCATCATTAAAGGTCAATAACTTCAATAAGGTGTCGACTGATGATATCAATCATATTGCCTTATTTGTTGATCATATCTTGCTGTTCATTTTTGCTTTTTGTTTCTGTCTATCTATTATGGTTTTGTGATAAAAGGCAAAAATAAAAAAAAACTAGAAAAATTCTTTGTGTAAGGGCAATAACTCCTATAAGATGTTGTCTGACAGTTTTGATGTCAACAGACATTATGTTGATCTCAGCATTCTGAAAATTTTTGCTCTGTCAGATATATCTATAGCAGTTTTCAAGATAATAGACAAACATTGCATTTAACCCATATGTTCTGCTTTTAGTCATGTCGGCCATTTTTGGTTGCAGTCAGGGTCATCGGACACATTTTTAAAACTAGATACCATATTGATGACTGTGGCAAATTTCAGGTAAATTTAGTCCAGTAGTTTCAGAGAAGATGATCTTTGTAAAAGTTAACTCACGACAAAAACTACGGACAACAACAGACGACGAACGCCAAGTAATGGCAAAAGCTCACACTGGCCCTATCATTCCTTACGCCAAATACAGATGACCTATTAATTAAACTACCGGTACTGGACCTACCCACAAAAAACCAAAGATCAGTGATCAATGAAATGAGGTCAAAGTAAGGTGATCATTGTCTGAGAGATGTATAACTTGCAATGATTTAAATAACAAACAAAGTTGTCTTGTTGCTCATTATAAGTGAGAAAATCAGTATTTGTTAGATGTCCCTGAAAAATGACATATTCCAGACGGAAATTTCATAAGATTATACATCTGAATACAAGATTTGAAGAATCCTGAAGAATCACCTTATGAAATATTTAGCTTTTAATACCAATAGTTTGAGACGCTACCGGTTTAGCAACCCTATGTCTCACATTCTGCATCATTGGTTGCAGCCAAGATAATAGTGGTCAGTCCTATGACTCCCATAAAAAAATGTCAAATCAAAACGACAGTATAGTAGGGTCAACTATGCATGATGGCAAACACTATGAACAAGTATGAGAGTTTTATGTCAAACAGTCTCAGAGAAGTTGCATTCAAAAGCTGTTGTATGATAGTCTAACATATGGATAAAGTCACATTACTTCTGCAAGAATTTTGTCAAATCAAATAGGCTTATAGTTCTGTCAACTTCACATGATGATAAACATCCTACCAAGTATGATCGCTTTCTGGCAAATGGTCTCATAGGAGTTACGTTCACAAGGTGTTGTTACAATGGTAAAAAAAGTACTGTAAATTAACACTACAAAACATGAAAGATTTTTTTCAAACATTCTCTGAGCATTGTTGTGATTTGGAAGAAAGGAAGGAGGACAAAAACATATATTTCTAAATATTTCTAATGCTGAGTAAAAATAAGTCCCTGTTAAATTTATTTTCTTGTCTAGAGTCAGAGAAATTCAGATATACCAGGTACAAAGGACATAACTGTTGAAAAAAACATGTTGACTCTCGGATGTCTTTTCTTTGTTTTTTTTAGTTGTTTGGGTGCAGTCTTATAAAAAAAAATTCCCAAACTCCAACACCTTTTACTTATAATTAATAATTCTTGTACACTTTTAAACAATACACAAACATACCTGATCAATTCGAGCCTTAAAAATAACAAGCTATACTTCACTACACAGACTTTTATTGAAAATCTTAATAAAATCTTCACTTAATGCTGATCAAATCCAGCAATATGATATATTCATTCAATGTCTGTTTTCAATACAACATTTATTTTTATGTGAAACAAATGACTTAAAGACTATTCCAGAAAAAATTGCACTGGGGTGTCAGGAGGCACATTCTGTATACCATCATCATGCATGAAATTTTAATTGACTGTAACTCAATCGAAAACACAGAACTAGCAATAGCATTCTATTATAAGTGACTCCAACACATCCCCACCCAAACTAAACTCATTTCTGGAATGGTCTTTCATTCAAAACAGTTTAGAAAAGCTGCCATGATAAACAATATCAAATACAGTTTGCACTATCTTCGTTCCTGCATTCCCAAACTGGACATTGTTTCCAGACTGGCCAATGCTGATGGCACCTGTGATGAGTATGCTGGTGGTGGCTGATGTCCAGGACCAGGCCCCTGAGGAGGCATCATCATTCCTACAGTCTGTGGGGGACCTTGAACATGGTGAGGATGATACATTTGACTTCCTCCCATGGGTGCCATCTGTGTCCCTCCTTGAACATTATAACCATGAGGTGGGTGCATTTGTTGTGACTGATGGGGTTGATGGCTCTGAGCCCCATGTGACCCAGGCAGGCTCCCACCTGGTCCCCTCTGAATATTATTTAATAATGTCTGCCATTGCTGTAATTTTTCTTGGTTACGTTTGATTAGAGCATCTTTCCTCTCAAGTTCTGCTCTCAGATCCTCAGTTTCCTGCAGTAAAAGAAAAAATATTAACTTAAAAAAAATCTTTCTAGGCAAATCAAATATCATTGATCTCATCATTATTGTGAAGGTTAATTGTACACTTATATTTCAGTAAGATTACAGACAATCTGAAACTGGGACCTTACATATTTTTCAAAAAGGGTTGACACATTTCTAGCAATCATTTTAACTGTAAATATAAATAAAATGAAACTGTATGTAGCACCAGGTCCAACAGACAGTCTGATAATGTCCATATGTAAATCATTTAAAGTTTAGAACATTATCATGATTACATTTGATTCAATGTTTAGAATTTCAAATAAATTTAGAAACAATGTCCTATGATCAATTGTATTTTTAGACTTGTTGTAACAATAGTCCTGTTATAGCTTCCTACCAATTTATACTTCATAGTTCATTAGGAAATATGAAAACAAAATAAAAAGCAAGAGATAACATTACCAGTATATATGGACGCAGCAAATAAATGAATTAGAATTAGGTGATCTAGTGGTTAAATTCCACAAGATTCTTTAAGGTCGAACACTTAGAAATTAAAGGGCACAACTCTTGATCAGTAAGGGTCAAATCCATCAAAATCAAACTCCAACTGTACTGGTCATTTATTGTGGATAAGTATTACATTGATATCTAAAAAGATTCTGTCATTTGGGGCTTTTTTAGTTACTATCAGAAACCCCCAAAATTCCTGTCCTTTATATCATTTCTGGGAATAACTCTTAAATGATAAATTCCTAAACTGTCAATCAAACTTTATCTATATTTCATGGTTCATGATATTGAGTGAAAATTTTAAACATTTTGTCAAGTGGTACCTTAATAATCATCCAAACAACAAAAAAAATCCCAATTTTTAAGATAATTAATATGATTATATTTAAGGGTCATCACACCTGAATGGTAAATGCCAAACATGTCAAAATCAAACCTGATAGTGACCTATATTTTATGGTTCATGACTTAGTGTAAAATTGAAAACCATCTTGTAAAGTGATAATATAATTATGATTTTTAAGATAAGGAACATAACTCTTGAGCAGTAAATGTTAAAATGTCAAAATGGTTAAGACCTGTATTTTATAACATTGTGTTAAATTCTAAAATAATTTTTAAAAGTAGTACTTGTACTGTTATCCAGAATCCAGAAACCATAAAAAATTTAAATATTTAATGTTGAACTACATGTAAGCAAAACTAGAACCCTCTACCTTTAAGCAAGGGACCCATTTAAAGAAAAGTATAAAGCTTATTAAGCGATTTGTTAGAGTTTTTGACTTGTTCAAGTTTCTGTTTTAACAAGACATATTTTTTTAGGAAGGTTTAGGTCTTACTGTTTCATTTTGTTCTTGTTGTTACTGCTAGTTTTTTGTTCAAGAAATTATTATGTCATCTTTCAGAGATTGACTGATTATTTGTTGCTTAATGTCCAGTGGCAAATATTTCATGCCTGTTCAGGATGATCTTTCAGAGATGATTAAGACTTACATCTTTAATGACTTGTTCAGGTTTCTGCTTTGACAAGACCAGCCTTTTGTTGAGGAAGAACGCCTCTGTCTGTCTACATAAATCTAGGAACTTTTGGAATGTTTGCTCTGCTCCTGAAATTTACAAAACATAAATGTGAAAATTAGTATAAACAAAAGAGTGAATAAATCATATCAATAGTGTCACAGTGGTCACAACCAAAAATTTTAAAATGTTACTTTTTTTGCAAGCATTGTCTATATTGCTTTTTTCACTGTTACCATTAAAACCACAGTTGTAAATGCATCAGATATTTGTCAAATATATTTATCTTTCCATGAAATAGTGTAATCATGATAGCTATAGATATATTTTTTGTTAAACAAATATATGATAGGGTACATATTTTTGCTATTCAAACTGCATTTGTATATGAAAGGGTGGGGTACTGGATGTATCATCTACTCACCCCTACCATAAAAGAATTAAAGTGACCCCTCAAAGGATAAAATCTACTCATTCTACTGATCTGCTGATTTTTTAGATAATTTCTTTATAGATCAATATCAAATTATTTTTTATGCATGAGTTACACCGATTGACAGACCAGAGGTCAATGGGTGTAAATGAGGTCATTAAACAATAGTTTCTTACTCTGAAGAAACAACATAAGCATTGTGACAAAAGAAATGTATGGAAAAACACATGAATTTGAATGTCGTCTATCATTATTAATATTCTATTCTTAACCTTTTATCCCCATCTATATATATGATCTAATATCATGAATATTCATAGTTATTCACTAAATGTGACAGATAATTCACCTGGCTTCAACTCATCTGTGTCTTGGGTGTTAAAGTGTTCTTGACTGGTTACAGCTGCTGTGCAATTCTGAAATTTTAATGTATTGTGTTTAGTTTATAAAGAGGCTTTTGCATTTCAAATTACCATTTGAGTTTGCATTTAAGTTGCAGTTTGATCTGTTCAATTGGCGACACATTTCAATAAACTGTTAAGGCTAATGACATCTTAACTGAATTTGTTTGAGGTTAACTGATTGATATTTTCTTCTGGCCCAAATGGAATAAGATAGTTTATTTATAGTTGAAATAAGACTTTTATACTAGATTTCAGAAACTGGAAGTACTCTTACTTTTTTGTAAAGTACCAATATGTTAAGTCAACACTCTTCCAACTAATTTTTAGTTATTTCTAATGTTGTGTTAGCTGTAAGACCACTGTCCCAATTTACATACTTTAGGAGGAGGATTGCTGTCAGAAACATGTTTAACTCTAGCTGCTACATTCTTTAAGGGCTTGTCCCAAGCTAGGAGCCTGTAATACAGTGCTTTTCATTGGTTGCTGTCTTTTATTTATTGTTTAGGTGAACATGTAAATCAGGACATTTGAATTGTTCCACATTTAGTTATCCTGGAGCCTTTTATAGCTTATAAACAATGGATTTTGCTCATTGTTGAAGGCTACAGACATGTAGTTGTACTCATCATTTGGTGGAATAGTCTCATTTGCAATCTTACTACATCTCTTAAATATCAATATTTATTGTTAACATAGTAAGATATGGTTAGACTATATATGTCATGTGTATGACTTAATCATAAACTTTAGCAATTACTGAAAATTTCAATGCTGACACCATCTAGAAACAACACGTCTGAATCTAACTTCTGCAGGCAAGATAAAAATTAATTGAAAAACTCAAACACCTAATAATTAGAACACCAGTAAATAAAAAGTTGGAGTTTGATGTGATTTTTTATACATAAACAGTTCAAATTATTTTTCTTATTGCTGTTCAATAGTTTAAACCCTAAAACAAGATTATGACTACCATGACTACCTGTAATGCTGTGCAAAAAAGTTTATATTTTGCTGGTAGGGTTTTAGTTTTTGATAAGATAGTTATTATACTGTAAATTCAGCAATTTTTGGTGATCTTACTATTGTAATTGTAAAAAAAAAAGAATGTGAGATTTATTATTGCAGTTACAATAAATGCTGCGTACTACATGTACTAATAATACTCCAAAATTTAATATTTGAGTTTTTTATTTGAACGAAACCTTCTGTCATGTCTGTGAGAGTACTTTTATTTGTGGGTATCAATTTTTTTGTGGTTTGAGCAAAAGTTGCATGTTCGTGGAATCTTAAATTTGTGGATTTTAGTTTTCTGAAGAAAAAAAATCCAGCGAAGAATTTGAAGCCATCAGAAAAGAAGATTCTTGATAATAATCATAATTATGTTGTTTTATAATGAATAGTGAGACATTGCTAAAGAAAGTGTTCATTTTCACTTTCTTGTTCATCTTTCATTACTGACAACCTTCATCAATTGTTTAATAAAATAATTGCTTTCGAAAATAAGCTGAATCGTCTATGCTTACAAATCGTCTCAATTGAAGGAAATTGCAAAGTAAACATTTTAATTGTTGCACATGTGTAATCAGAAGTGATGACACTAATTAACCCGAGATCGAATGATCAACAGATTAACAATCATTAAAGGTGTTACGGGGCCATAAACATGTCACTTAAAGAAAACAGTTACATAAAAAAAATATGCTACAAATGTACTTTGAATTACAGAATTTTTATGAAATAAAAAAGCAAGCCCAATATGAAATTTGTTTTTTGTATGAGAATTATGAGGAGATAAAATGAACACTTCATCATCGCATATCATCTCCGAAAGTCTGACTTTCATCTATCAAGACTAATTTTTCATAAGAATTAAAATGTTGTCGTACATGTTAAATGATGTTTTTTTAAAGATTAAATGGGTAAAGTCCTGCCTGAAATTGTATATATAGTTCATAGTGCGTTAGGTGATATTTGATTTTTTCTATAGATTGTATGTATCCATGTAGTGAAACCTACATGGGGATCTTTCTAGGTCTTGATTTGGACAACAATTGTTATATTTTGTTGGGACACCTAAATTCATGGATAAAGCCATCCACTAAAATCACAAAAATTGGCACCCCACGAATAAAAGTACTTTCACAGCATCCCATCACAACTGTCTCAAAATTTTCTGAATTTTCAATACTAATGGAAAAGGTTTGAATGTATATTACCTGTCCTATATTTATTTTCATATGAATAAAAGATATGTTACGGAATGTCTGGCCGAAAAAATAAATAAAAATAAAACAACTCTGCCCCGGAGACAACTCGGACTGAATAATAAGTCAACTTGGACCGTGTATAAAGTCATCTCGGACCGGCGGAGTCTACAATGCCAACTCAGACAAAGTATAAACATTGAGTTTGTGCTATATAAATGTTTTGTATCACAGATTCAATGTACAGTCATGACAGTTGTGTAAAACCTTTATTAATTAATTAAACAAACTTTTTTGTTTTAATTTATTCATTAATTGAATTCATTGTTTATAATATTTGTTTATTATAAATCATTGCATTTTACCTGAAGTCATAATTAAATTAAATTAACAATCAGTAATGTTAATTTAATTATTCCAATCTCCAACAATAGACTGAAGCATGCATGTCTACACAAAAAAAGTTATGATCTTGAATTGTCTTTATAGACCGATATGTCTCCATAGTCTTACTATACAAATCCTTGGTTGACGGGTTGATGTCTGAAGATAAATGACACCGATATTAAAAAGTATTCTTAGTAAAGAGACAAATAAATAGATTAATAAAACATTCTTTATGATAAACTTTGACTTAAATTACCTGAAAAGAAGCTTCAAGTTCATCAATTAAATGGAAATTGGGTTTCAAATTTTCTGGGTTCATTGTAATTTCTTGTTCCTAACAGCATACATTTCTGCTGTTTACTCTTCGTTGCAAACAAATTTCGGAAACCAGTAAAATTATAAACCTTAAAACATGTACGGAATTCCGGACTTTATTATTTAAAGTTAATTTTTAATATTCTTATAAGTGGTATAACCTGCTTTTCTGTGTAACAAAAAGTGATCCAGACTTTCTCACACAAGTGCAATGGAAGAGCTGTCGAAATAAATTATTGAGTCATAAAAATTTCCGGACTTTTTCATATCGACTACTTACCTAGATTGGTTCACAAATTAGTCACGCCTTCGAAGAGGATGTAAACCAAAAAAAAAATTCCAATGCAAAATGGCTTGACTACCATTTAACCCATATTTAGTTGTACAGATCATTTATGTAATGCCTAGGTCAAACAATGGGCGTGATAGTAGTTCTAGACGCAGTCGTTCCTCCAGAAGTAGATCAAGAAGCCGACATCGCGACAGAAGACATCACTCACACAGACGAGAAAGGGGGAGACATAAACCAAAAGAAAGAAATTTAGGAGCAGCGTTTTGTAGCATGATAACAATTGTTATTATGTCAACGTCTTTAGCAGAACCAAACTGGGTATCTTTACAAGGTGGCGGATGTGTTGTAAATGGTGTTGGACTTGATCATTTAGGGGCTTTCCAGTTTTTCTATCCAGGAAAGTTTTTAGAACAGTTTATTCAAGGACCAAACAACAAAAAAGTTGACATCGTTTATAAGTTCGGACCAAATGATTTAGACAGTATGTAATCCTTAATAAACATTATCACATAACAGAATGATTCCTTTTGGAATTTCATCAAATCAAATACAAATATTGTATTGCCACAAACACAATAAATGGTTATATTTAAGACCAGAAGACATATTTACATACATACATATATATATATATATATATATATATATATACATGTATATTTGTAAAGACCTATTGCATATATAGTAATATTAACAGACATGATAGAATTGAAAGTTACATACTAATATATCATATTATTAAGGTTTATCTAAAGGTATTGAAAAATATGTCTGTGTTTACCCCATAAAATCCACTATGAGTACAGACAAACTGATGCATCTAGGAAAGTTTGAAGGCATGGCATGACCTAGATATACAAAAGTCTTATGTAGTTTATGTTTCAGAAAATTAAAAACTTACCTGAATTTTGATGTTCATTTTTTTCCAGTCTGCAGCGCAGAAGATAGCAAAATAAACAAACACATGAGTTTCATTTGATACAGTCCACTCAGTTACACACTTTAAATCACCTATTGTTTGCAGATGTCTATTGTCCATTTAAATCAATACTACTCACAACATTTATTATATGAGGGGAGCTTCTCAAACCTCTTTCCCAACTTAGTTTATTTTGGTACATGTACCTTCTGCAGGAATGAAAAAAAAAATAACTAGCAAAATCCAGAGAAGTTTATAATTTTCTGAATCATAAAATGCATTTACAATTTAATTATCTAGTACCTGCCATGCCTTAAAACTTTTCCAGGTGCACAGGTTTGTCTGTACTCAGATTAAAATTTGTGGTGAAATACAGCCATATTAGCCAAAAGGTTATGATGACAGGGTTGGCAAAGTATTACCCGGACGGGCAAACCCGGTTGGAAAAACCTGGGTTTTCTCGGGCTGGGCAATACTCCTAGAAACGGGTAATATGATTTTTCAAGCTTATTTATACACAAAATAGTAAAGACTTGTTGTAGTTTAATAGTATTATAGCTAAATATATACATTTTATACAGATAACCATTGAGAGTCATTCCTGAAGATTGAAAATTCAATTTCTTCCTTTTCTCCACTAATTCTATGTAGACAGAATACAAGTTCTGGACATTTCAGGATACCTTGTTAATTTCCAAGCTTTGTTTCAATATTAAATCCAAGTTGAAAAATGCATTTTATTGTAGTGTTTTAACTGAATTGTAAATTTTAATTGTTATACATCATATTGCTAAATAAACACCCTAAGGGACGCCATGAACACTTAACAAAAATCAAAAAGGCTGATTATTGTTATACAAACAAATCTGTATTATAATATGAATAATTACTTATTAATTAGTGATGTACATAAACATATGCTCAAACTTAGTAAACATTTTTAGTAATGAACAAAAAATGTTTAAAAGTAATTTTCCTTACATAGAATTGTTAATTCTTAATATTAGTTATATTTATTTAAAAAAAAAATTGAATTCTTCCACTTTAGTGTATTGCATTTGTGATTAATCACTGAATCCTGTTTAAAATTCAGGCCAGTATTTCATATTACCCAGTATTTCCCAGTATTACCCGGTAAAACCCGGGTTTTCCCAGTATTTCCCACTGGGCTGGGCAATACTCATAAAACCTGGGTTTTTGCCAACCCTGTATGATGAACCTTAAACTATTCCTTATATTTAGACACTATGATATGAAAGAGGAAGACAGTTTAAGTAATAATGCTGAGCTATTGTTTACCAAATTAGAGATATTTTTTCAACAGTGTTAATGTAACGCTGTATTTTAGAGATACATGTAACATTACTTTTAATATCTAATATTTCTAGTTTTGAGGAAAATCTATATTTAATAACATTATATGTAATAAGAAATGTTATTCATCTTCAATTTACCCCTTATTACAGATAGGACAGTACCTTTCTTCTCTTGGTACATGTATATTAAGTTGTCTTACCTTTTTAATCTTTAAAGAATGTACACTTACGCGAATTTTGCATATTGCTACTTTATTAATTAAATTGTTCAATAAATCAACATATATGATGGTCTGTGACCCATTGTGTAGACTTTACTAAAGAATCAATGAAGTCAGAAATTATCTTAAGGACTATGGCAAATATTACATGTAAATGTGAATATGGGACAACTCTGCCCCAGAGACAACTCGGACTGAATAATAAGTCATCTTGGACTGTGTATAAAGTCATCTCGGACCGGCGGAGGCTACAATGCCAACTCAAACAAAATATAAAAATTGAGTTTGTGCTATATAAATGTTTTGTATCACAGATTCAATGTACAGTTGTGTAAAATCAAATTTCTTCTTCATCATGGTGATTTTATATTTTGAATAAAACCTTTATTAATTAATTAAACAAACTTTTTTGTTTTAATTAGTCCCCTACCGACGAAGTCGAAGGGGACTTTGGGTTGGCACTCCCTCCATCTGTCTGTCTGTCTGTCCATCCGTCAGTCCGGCAAATCAGTTTTCCACACTTTTTTTCTTCGTGCTTGGATTTGATATTTAGTGTATTGTTTAATCATGACTAGTTACAGATCAAGTTCGAATTTTGTTCAAGTCTGAGAAATTTGTGCAGAGTTATGGTCCTTGAACTTAGAAAATTCACTCAAATAATCAGTTTTCCTCACTTTTTTTGGTCATGCTTGAAGATATTGATTTCATGATTGGTATATAGTTTTAGCATGACAAGTTACAGATCAAGTTCAAATTTTTTTCCGGTCAAATGATTTTGTGCAGAGTTATGGTCCTTGGACTTTGAAAATTCCACAAATAGTCAGTGTTCCTCACTTTTTTCGTCATGCTTGAAGATATTGATTTGATAATTGGTATATAGTTTTATTATGACAAGTTACAGATCAAGTTCGAATTTTGTTCCGGTCTGATGATTTTGTGCAGAGTTATGGTCCTTGGACTTAGAAAATTAACTCAAATAATCAATTTTCCACATTTTTTTCGTCACGCTTGAAGATATTGACTTGATACTTGGTATAAAGTTTACACCATGACAAGTTATAGATCAAGTTAACATTTTGTTCCCGTACAATGAATTTTTAACCGGTAGGGGACTATGTATTGCCAGGCAATACTCTCAGAATGCTTGTTTATTCATTAATTGAATTCATTGTTTATAATATTTGTTTATTATAATATCATTGCATTTTACCTGAAGTCATAATTAAATTAAATTAAATTAACAATCAGTAATGTTAATTTAATTATTCCAATCTCCAACAATAGACTGATGCATGCATGTCTACACAAAAAAAGTTATGATCTTGAATTGTCTTTATAGACCGATATGTCTCCATAGACAGTCCAAGTTGTCTATAAAACCAGGTTTAACCCACCATTTTCTTCAGAGAATGCCTGTACCAAGTCAGGAATATGGCTGTTGTTTTTCACTTGTTCTGTTGATTGAAAGCATTTGATTTTGTCAGTTTTTATGGACTTCCCCTTTATGAATTTGTCTTGAAGGTTTTTAGTAGACACTCATTAATCATTAATATAGTCAAAACTTCAATAATTTGTGTAAGTTGGCATTGTAGACAATCAGAGTTAACTTTATAGACGGTTGAAGTTGACTTATTGACGGTCCAAGTTGTCTTCATAGACGGTCCAAGTGTTCTATTTTGTAGACATGGTAGACAGTCCTGGTTGTCTTGCTTGAGTAACATCATTATTCATACTGAAAATTGAAAGTTTGGGAGTTTTTTTACCACAGAAAGATCAATATATACCACAGAACTTCCAAATTATAATTCTACAGAAACCTTATTATTGTTGAAATTGTTCATATACTGACATTTCTTATGTCAAAAAAAATTCAGATTTAGGGGTGACACAAACACACTACCCCACCTGAATCTGCTTGAATGGTGTCCATAGATTTACCCAATAACACCTGAAAACTCTCAAAAATATGCTAAACACAGTAAATAAAAGTAGTAAATTGAAATTGTGATGAGGTACCTTTGTGACATTTATTTTTTATATATATACAAGAATAAAATTTAATTAAATTTTATTGTTGTTTCATCATGTTCATTTTGAATATTTTTATGTGCACAATTTTGATGTGGTCTACAGATGTTTGAGGGTGATCCAGGGATTGAAGTTAAAATTTTGGCATGGTAGCCCACAGCCACAAGAAAAGCAGAAATTTAAGTAACCCACACCAAATTTTAGGGGCCATTGGCGAGTGGGCCCCTGCTAATTTCAAACCCTGTGATCATGGTCTTTGCAAATAATAAAATTATCATTGGAAGTTTTAATTTACTCAAAGAAAAAAAAATTACGTTTATAATATTCAAATTATGACTTTAACTAAAAAAAATCAACTTTTCAAATCTTGAAATTTTGACTTTCACTTTAAATTTTGACTCTTAAAATCTTGGAAATTTGAAATGTTTTTAAATAAGACAAATTGCAGTGATTATTTCTTGGATAGTCCTCTGCCTCTAGATCTATTATTGTTATTACAGTATAAAACTATAGAAGTACAAAGATATACACATTTCTAGCTGTAAGTTCTTTGTCTTTAGTAAAAGATTAGAATTGAAGCTGTGCTTTTGGAAAGGCTTATTGTGATGACATTTCTCCTGTAGATGTATGTTTTTGTATTTAGAAATGAACAATTGCAATTGTGTTACATGAAATATACAGTAACCATGTTTTTTTTTGCATTTTTTTAAGAAATGGAAAACTGTGTTACAAACAAAGCTGTGATACTGATGAAGACAATCATTGCATTTACATTCATAGCCATGTGCTGTACACTTATAGCCTTCTTATTAGATCTGATTGGACCACAGCACAGAGCTTTAAAAATATTGAGAAGAAATGCAATATTTAATATTGTGTCGGGTAAGTCCACTGTTTTGGTAAATATGTTTATGCCATAGTAAATCTAACACACGTTTCTTTGCAATAATAAATTCTGTACAAATAAGAAATTCATTGAAAAGGCATAAATTTAAATATTCTTTATTTGCCCTTTTCCCACTCAGATTTATAGTTTAATATAAAATACATCTGTAGGTAGTTAAGAAAATATATATATAAAATTGAGAATGAAAATGGGGAATGTGTCAAAGAGACAACAACCCGACCATAGAGCAGACAACAGCCGAAGGCCACCAATGGGTCTTCAATGCAGCGAGAAACTCCCGCACCTGGAGGCGTCCTTCAGCTGGCCCCTAAACAAATATGTATACTAGTTCATTGATAATGGACGTCATACTAAACTCCAAATTATACACAAGAAACTAAAATTAAAAATGATACAAGACTAAATATATAGATGTTAGTTTTACCAAAATTGGTCTAAGGGGCATACAGTGCATCATTTGAATATTAAGATGCACAAGGAAGAGGTATGATACATGTAAAGTCATTATTTGGCTACTGAATTTAAATGAAAAATCTCAGATCAGTTTCAGGGGGTATATCACTCTCCTCCTTATTCATGCTAGAGTGACTTTGGAATTTTACTTTGTTTTATTTTTATTTCAAAAGTTAAGATTTTTTTATTAGGATTGTTTATAATGAAGTATCTTATTGTATATAATTATATATGTATAAAAGTAGATGTGAGGTACATGTTAATAAGACAGCAATTGAATGACACACAAGAACCAAATGACATCTTGAGGTCAACATACATGTATAATGTATCGTCTTCAACAATAGACAGGTGTTTGTATAAAATGCAACCTCTTAATATTTAATACTTTTCATGTCAAACAATGTGATCATTGAAATTTTTATACAATGTATTGTGAGTTGGATTTTACATGAAGTTGTATTTTGATAACCTTCTTTATGTTAATAAGCATAACATTTATAAACAACTTTTGTTTTTCAGTTATTTTGTGTGTGATTATCAATTTGTTCTGTTACTGGTTAACTGTGGAAGTTTCTGGATTACAACGGGTATCAAAATTCCATGTCGGAAGTAAAGTAGAAGTGACCTTTGACATTAGTTTCTATCTGATCACTGCTGCAGGTGCCATGGGCGTCATAGCAACAGCCATGAACTGTTTGAAGAGATTTCCAACACATGATCATATGACCGAAGCCTTATTAGAGGATTATGATGGACTAGAAGGGGCGTTTCCTGTCCCACCTCCAGAGGCACAGAGTTCACCTATGTCTAATATTCCCCCACCACCAGCATATACACCATGATTTTTATTGACTATTTCTGTTTTTATACACAGTATATCAAGTATATTTAGTTAAGCTTTTTTCATGGTATTGGCATTCAAGAAGCTTACTAAAATTTAGCAGATTTTATCATTGTATCCATGATTTCAATGCTTGTTATACGTTTTTTTGTAGTTAAATGTCCATTGTGAATATCATAAAAATTTAACATATGCGAAAAGTATATCAGTTAAAGTTTATTCAAGAATCATTTGTAGTTTGCTGAAATATCTTTATCATTGTTTAATTATGTTGAGTTCATGTTTATGTCCATGTTGAACATCAAGGTAATGAGAAATAAGACAATTTTTTTTTATCAGGATATTAAGACAAAATTATTTTTGACAGTAACCATGGTAACATGAAAAGTGGAACAGTAGGATCACCTTCATAGTAATTAAATCCTTTATACAGTCATGAGTCAAAATATTATTTATTTGCCACTGAAGGTTAAATTAACCAACTGTAAAAGAATTCTTTCTTTACTAAAAATATACAATTCATTACATTTAAGGAATGACTAATATTTTTTCTGTCTATGAAGAAATAACATCAAAAATGGGGTGCACACTGATTACGTGGGTTATTTAAAAGTGTGCACCACCTTTTTTAGGTTATTATGAATAGACAGAAAAAATATTACAGTCATTCCTTATAATTTAATTCTAAATTCCCTTTTTAATGAGTAAATTTTGAGAAAAAAAATGTTGTTGACGTCATGGTCACATGACAAAATTATGTCTATGAGCTGATAGACAAAACACTTTCAGCCAATCAGAAGACATGTTACATCCAAAATTAAATTATTTATAAATATTGATACTTGTTATTGAATTTAGAAATTTGTAGTTATACCATGGCCTTCATTTCTGTTGTCAAATTCAAACTTGTGACATACTTATAAGAAACTGGAGATATTTTTATTTTTATCTGGATTTTTTTAAACTTCATATATATTTTCAATAGAAGTATAAATGTACATAATCATGATAATGAAATTAACCCCAGCTGCATATTAATAATTTTCAGCAATATTATGACCATTTCAAATTGTGGGTTTTGTGCTTCAAGGCTGGAATAATCCCAATTTTATTAGTATGAAACTTAATATGCTTTAACCACCAGTCAGTCGAATTTGGCTTTACTTGATTAAATATGATTTTTATATATAAGTAGTTTGGTATAATGAGAACTATATGTGTATTTACATTGATATATATTTTATGAGAGATTTTTGTATGTTGATACTCATTTTTATCTGCTGATAAATGAATGGAAAATATTTTAACCTTTTTTACTCACATTTCTATGTGCATGTGTAACAGTAAATTCTGTCCGGTAGTAAAAGGAGAAGTCTCAGTAAGAGCTAGTTTTGGCCTAGAATTTGAAGTACATCTGCTGAAAGATTTTTGACATTTTTTAAACACTTAAGTGTCAAGATTTGAACTGATTTGGTCATTAAAGACTCTCAAATTAAAAAACAGCCCATATTTATGGAACAAAAGTATTCTACTTTCCAATAATTAACTAAAAGTTTACATTTCAACAAATTTGCAAAACTGCTATATTTTGGGGCCAAAAAGGGGTCTTGGCGGGCCTACTCTTTTATCCCCCAGACTTTGTTTCCTAGGTAATCAAGTCCATGGCCATAATTTTATTTTAAAAAAAAGTCCCAGGATATATTTTCTTAGGAAAATAAATCCATAGCTGGTAAAATATGTCTGGCACTTATTTTCAAATTTGTATCAAACACTTCTGAAAATGACTAAATTTTAAGATACTGTGGATTCATTTATTTTCATGGGTATCAATTTTCGTGGATAGAGAAAAAAAGATGTTTCGTGGTATACGTAAATTCGTGGATCGCTGATCACAAAAACAAATTAATTCAGATTTGTAATTCGTGGATTTCTTTTTGATTTAGGAGATCATATAACCTCCTTAGTTTGATCAATAATAAAACAAACAAAAAAAAAGGAATTCATTGAAAAAGTTTTGAATTGTCAAAATCCTCTCTTGTTCATTCTAGGTTAAAGTGTTCATTGAAAACTTCTATTACAATAATGGACAGAGACAACTAATTATTTGTTTGTTTTACAATTTATAAATTCTTGTCGGAATTTTATAAGGCATTCAAAACTATATGATTGAAAGCTCATTTCCCTAATCACGATATAATAAACAGTCATATAAGTAAAAGGTGTGAAAATAAATGTTCCTGTCATAAACAATATTACCTACGGGCAATATCCCCGTACTTAATCCTATTGATTTTTAATCACCAGTAAACCAAACTATGACACGGTAATTAACAACTTGCAGTTATTTTCCATGAACAGTTTTAATTAATTTTAAAAAGTAAATTATCACTGATATTCGATATATTTATTATTGATTTAATCAAAATACTTGTATCTTCTTTCAATAAAAACAAGTGTTATGTTACAATGTTTATCGCTAGTCAACACTATACTAGAACTGCATAACATAACCGGAAATAAACATCCGACTCCATACACATTTCTCTGGATTATTCTTCGTTGAATTCTTAAATTCGTGGTTCGCTGTGACCCACGAAACCCACGAAAATTGGTTTACCACGAATAAAAATGAATCCACAGTATGAAATATTGAATAATGAAAAATATTTCCGCCTAGTTATAAAAGTTATCAATATGACATTCTTTAAAATTAACTCACACTTTAAAAGATAAAATAAAGAAACTTTTTTAGTTAAGGTGGTACCCAACACTGACTGATATTAATTTGGCTCGTTTAATTTTCATAAAATTTTGACAAAATGTTTACTTTGACCCTTTGACAAAAATATAAAAATTTCAAAAAATTTGAACCAACCGCTTTATCAGAAAAATTTCATTGGTTATATAGCAGTTTGACAAACACTAATTTTGGTCATTGAGAAGCTTAATATTTCCTTAACAATACAAAGTAATTAAAACGTTTAGCTGATTTTTACAGAGTTATCTCCCTGTAGTGTTAGGTACCACCTTAAAAGAATGATAAAAGTCTATGACACAATTTTTCTGGGAAAAAAAGTAGAGTGCAATATTTAAAAAAAATTCCATATTTTAAAATAATACTGAAAGATTGATGTATAACTGTGAAAACAATATTGAAACATAACAAAACATTCCATTGTTTACAAGTAAATGATTTCTTTCTGTACAAAATATTTTCCTAGTAAAATAAAGGATTATGACATGAATACCTAGGACAATTTGTCTGAGGACATTAAATTAAATGATTAATTACTGACATTGGACTAAAAATACTAGTAAATTCTGTAACCATGGACATTTAAAACTAGCAATTTGTGTCCGCCCAGACACATTTTACTTGGACTATTTATCTCTTACACATGTTTAAAGTAAAATATGGTATTCTCTGTAATTGAAATTCTTTATTCAAATAAAAATTATAATCATTTTGATTTTAAATGCTTCTTACATATTTCTTAAAAAAACATTTTGACTTTTAGACTATTATTAAAAAAATTGATAATATCAAGTTTTAATTTTACTCAAGAAAGACGAAAAAACAGCAAGGTGAAGAAAAGTTGAAATATACTCCAAAACAATTACGATTAAATTGATTTCTGACTTAAATCAAATGGTTATAGTCATGTACTAAAGAATTTGATTATGTAACTATATATGTATGTTTTTATAGTGAAATGATCTAAGTTAGTTTGTACGAGGAAATTTACTACAATATTAACAAAAGAAGAATTTTATAGTTAGAACCTTGTAGTCAATTTTATGATCATACATTTTTGTAATTTTTTTATAGAACTATTGTTTTTAAATTTAAAATCTTTACACTCCTATATAAATTTAAAAACAATGTTTTTGTGGCAGTAAAAGAATGTAAAGGTAAAATAAAAAATGTATTTTGCTGTAATCATTAGATATTGCGAAAAATAATTTATTCAAGCAAGGGCTGGTCCCTAATATGATTTTTTTCTATTTTTGTCTCATCTGCAATTTTTTAGTGTTAAAAATAGTGTTGTCATCAACAATTGGTGAGTGTCTGGATGGGGTTTACAGAATAAAGAATAATGTGCCAAATATACAGAAAAATGGCCAAAAAAATAAAGTATAGAGAAAAATAGGGTGCTAAAATATAAAGAATAGAGAAAAATGGCTAAAATGATAAAGAAAAGAGAAAAATGACATAGAAAAATAAAGAATTCAGAAATGAAGGCCCCCATCCAGAGCCTCATTGATGTTAAGTTGTTGATTTGTACCATTTCAAAATAAACACTAATTGTATACCTTTGTGTATTATTATAACTTTTCCTTGTTCACATGTCCTAACTATTATGAAGATGATGCAAAATTTACTATAATTTGTGCACAATTTTATACATAGTGTTGCTAGCCTTGTAAACCTTATTATGTAATGAAAGTTTTTAGTATTCTTCTGTTTATTGCATATATATTGAAAGATTAAGTCTCATAAATGTTTTGTTAGTTATGTGAATATTTTAAATTATCGCTATTTTGTGTATTTTTCCTTTGATCTTTCTTTGTGATAATTTTTCATATCATGCTACTCGCTTGAGGTAGAAAGTTATCGTCAAAAACTAAGAGCGCACATGCCGTTGTCAATGTAAAAATTAATGACGTCATTGGAAAAATAGGGATAAACAGATTATCAATGGTTTTTCAAACTTGAGGATGTTTGTCCGCCACATCTCATCTCAGGGCTGTCACCCTTCGATGAGATTGTAGCTGAGATACACCCTCTCGTTTGAAAAACCATCAATAATCTATAAATATCATAGATCTAGATGCCATTTCCTATTTCTTTTAAATCAAAATGACATTTGTTGTTTGTTTGGTTGTTGAATATTTTGACTGTTTTCATGTGTAAAAGACTTGCTTTAATTAAGTCTCCCAAACGAAGTTTGGGAAGACTTATTGTTTTTGCTCAGTTCTTATTATTATTATTATTCTTCTTCTTCTTCTTCTTCTTCTTCTTCTTCTTCTTCTTCCGCCGCTTTTAAATTTGAACTTGTCCGCACCCGTTCTCCAAAACCGCTTGTCAGATTAACTTAGGGTTTTACAATATGTTAGACTAACATGTCTAGTGGTGCAATCAGGGTTTTGTTTGTGCAATGGGGTTTATAAAGGGGTACTTTGAGGGTCAAAAAGAAAAGAGGGTTTTACTATAGAACCCTATGGGATTTTATTTTTTTAAATTTTCAAATGATTATAAATTGAAAACCGTTTGTGATAGACACAATCTTTTTAATTGAAAATGTTCTAAATGATAAAGCCCATTAAATGAAATACAGGGTTAGTCCCCAGGGGTCACCCCCACCCCCTGCCATTTAAGAAAGTTCTAATACCTTGTAAGTGGTAAAGATCCCCACCCCTAAACCATATATATTCTGGTTTGTTATGCTAAGATGGTTTGAATGATGTACAGGGTTAGTCCCCAGGGGTCATCCCGACCCCCTGCCATTTGAGAAAGTTCTTATATCTTGTAAATGGTCGAGATCCCCACCCCTAAACCATATATATTCTGGTTTGTCATGATAAAGCACATCAAATGTAATACAGGGTTAGTCCCCAGGGGTCACCCCCACCCCCTGCCATTTAAGAAAGTTCTCATATCTTCTAAGTGGTCAAGATCCCCACCCCTAAACCATATATATTCTGGTTTGTCATGCTAAGATGGTTTGAATGATATACAGGGTTAGTCCCCAGGGGTCATCCCGACCCCCTGCCATTTGAGAAAGTTCTAATATCTTGTAAATGGTCGAGAACCCCACCCCTAAACCATATATATTCTGGTTTGTCGTGATAAAGCACATCAAATGAAATACAGGGTTAGTCCCCAGGGGTCACCCCCACCCCCTGCCATTTAAGAAAGTTCTAATATCTTGTAAGTGGTCAAGATCCCCACCCCTAAACCATATATATTCTGGTTTGTCATGCTAAGATGGTTTGAATGATATACAGGGTTAGTCCCCAGGGGTCATCCTGACCCCCTGCCATTTGAGAAAGTTCTAATATCTTGTAAATGGTCGAGAACCCCACCCCTAAACCATATATATTCTGGTTTGTCATGATAAAGCACATCAAATGAAATACAGGGTTAGTCCCCAGGGGTCACCCCCACCCCCTGCCATTTAAGAAAGTTCTAATATCTTCTAAGTGGTCAAGATCCCCACCCCTAAACCATATATATTCTGGTTTGTCATGCGAAGATGGTTTGAATGATATACAGGGTTACTCCCCAGGGGTCATCCTGACCCCCTGCCATTTGAGAAAGTTCTAATATCTTGTAAATGGTTGAGATCCCCACCCCTAAACCATATATATTCCTATTTGTCATGTCTCGAACATTTGAATGACGTATACGGTCAGTCCCCAGGGGTTCCCCCCACCCCCAATGTTCTAATATCTTGTAAATGGTTGAGATCCCCACCCCTAAACCATATATATTCCTGTTCGTCATGTAATGAACATTTGAATGACGTATAGGGCCAGTCCCCAGGGGTTCCTCCCCACCCCCAATGTTCTAGTATCTTGTAAATGGTCGAGATCCCCACCCCTAAACCATATATATTCTGGTTTGTCATGCCAAGATGATTTGAATGATATACAAGGTTAGTCCCCAGGCATCACTAAAGCATATAACTTTACTGGACCAAACCAATTTTCACTGGACGTTGCCCAATGTCAGGCGACCCTGGGAATTACGAATTATGGGAGCTTCGTTTGGGAGACTTCGTAACAGCATCCTGTTACAATCATTTCTTGTTTATATTAAAATGATACAAAAAATGGCCACAAAGGCTCTAGTTATTTACATAAAGTTTTCTGGTGACTTTAAAAAACTCCGGAAGAAAATTTTAAATATAACAACACTTGCACCAACTTAATGCTGACTTTCTACCTTGTTCTTGACTTGATTGACTTTTTATACCCAAAACTAATTTTCTTGAAGGTGGTCAGTTCTGATTTAATTCTGTGTGGTATGAGTTTACCTATAATTGCTTAGTTTGTTGTTAAACTATTTTTGTGTATTTTGTGTCTTGATAATTTATGTTTTTTGAAGACTGGATAAAGATTATTGAGTTGTGATAGTGGGGGTGCTAGCTTTGGCTTATGTTTAGCTCACTTGGCCCTTTGTTCTAATCACTTCGGGGCCGTCGTCGTTGTCGTCCGTCGCCGTTATCTGTTAACTTTTACAAAAATCTTCTCCTCTGAAACTATTTGACCAAATTTAACCAAACTTGGCCACAATCATCATTGGGGTATCTAGTTTTAAAAAATGTGTCAGATGACCCTGCCTGCCAACCAAGATAGCCGACATGGCTAAAAAAAGAACATAGGGGTAAAATGCAAGTTTTGTCTATTATTTTGAAACTGTTATAAATAGGGAAAATCTGACATGGACAAAAATGTTAAGAATGTCCAGCTCTACCAATTGTCCATATACGTTAAAACTGTCAGACGACTTCTTATAGGAGTTATTGCCCTTAAATGACAAATTTTACCCTTTTTTTTTCAATTTTGCCTTATATCTTGAAAATTGTAATAGATATAAAGAAACTTTAAATTGCAAAAATGATC